TAATTTGTGTCCCTAAATGTCCATCAATGTGGGTCCATCCACTGGAGCTTGAGTTACCTACTAAGCATCACATCCTTGAAAGAGACTGACTCTCTCCCTCCCAGCAGCCATTGGTTGCCAATAGTTCCTCAGGTAGGGTTGGGGTTTCTGATCCACTTCCCCATGTCTATGCTGGGATATTTGTCTTGTTTGAGCTTGCGTGGGACTTGTGCATGCTGTCACCATTGCTGTGAGTTCATATGAGAAACTGACCAACTATCTGGAAAACTCTATTAAAGCATTTTGATAAAAAATCTAGTTGCTTTTCAAAATTCTGAATCCATAATTGAGTTAAAGTTAATGTCAAAAAAGAAAGCTAATAACTGATATGTTATCTGAATATACTGAAAAATGATTATAAGTTTAAACTTACATATAATATATATGAGAGAGAAAATGAAAGACAGACAGACAGATAGACAAGGCCTCACACTGAAGCCCAGGTTGGCTTTGAACCTGTAATCCTCCTGCCTCTGCCTCCCAAGTGCTAGGATTGTAGGTGAGCATCACCATGGCCAGGTTTGGATTAAGATTAAAGAAGACTTTCTATTACTAAGTAAATTGGGTTTATTGTTATCAAGAGCATCCACTGAAACTTATTTGTATGAACCACAACCTCAGAGCAACAATGCTTGAAAAATGAGAAGAAATGGCATTAAAGATAAACCATCATGGCTGTGCATGTAACACCGTCTTCACACTTCCAGCCTGGAAAGAATTTAGGAATAGGCACATGTGCCAACAGCAATGAATAAAATCATATAATAGCAATGCTATCATAGTTAACAGTGAGCATCATTTACAAATAAAATGTTTAACTGTGTATGGTAGTCATGCCTGTAATTCCAGTACTCTTGAAGCTAAGGAAGGAGGATCATGAGCACAATACCAGCCTGTGCTACATAGTAAGATCCTGCCTCAAACAAACAAAAACCAAACCATTTTGTTTCTGTTTTTTAACTTATCTCTACATGTGTGCCTGTATGTACTGGATAGCAATGCAAAGTATGTTTTCTACTGTCAACTGTGGAACAGAGATTTTTAAAAAGTACTTTTCTTCGGTCACCATTGTGAGTGGGTTGTTTATACATGGGATGCTGCCTGCTCATAAGTCACCATGCCTGGGTCTGCCCACCTTATGGTCCTGGAACAGATTTCTCTGTGATCATGACACAGCTCTCCTATCCATTAAATCCTTTCCTGTGTTTATTTTTGTCCTTTCTGTGGTTGTTGATATCACTACTTGCTATTACATTTCTGCACCACCTTTTAAAAATACTTTTTTCTTTGTAAAATAAATATATTTGATGAAAAATAAACTTCCCTATAAGCCACATTGAGTATCATCCCTGTTAAAATGTTTATTTCACAGTTATATGTGTACATTTTTATATTTGTATGTATTCCACAGCAAATATTTAAATAAAATTGAGATTAAGCAGTGTACAGAAATACATGCTATTTCACAGGTTTTTGTTTTTACTTTGTATAGTAGAAACTGCTTTTCATGTCGTTCAGCATTCCTCTCACGTTATTCTCCAAGCTATCTAGTGCATGGTTTTATAGCTATGATATGAATTACCTCTCCTTCCCCCTGTTGTTGGATATGCGTATAGTTTTTAATTAACTTATAATTGAAAGACACATGGAACTCCTTGTTGGAAATTTCTTATATTCATTTCCATAATCACTTCCTTAGGATGAATTCCCAGAAGGGGGATTGTTGGGCTGGAGCCATATCTGTGTTGTACATGTCCCAATGCCCTCCAACGAGGCAGTACCAAGTTACATCCACCAGCATCCAAGACAGGAGAGGACCTTGTTCCTAACTTCTCATTCACAATGGCATTTTGAAATACACTTAGCCAATTTGATTAATAAGAAACTAGCAATTTATTTGAAAGTTTATGTTTAATTACTAGGTCTTGACATTTTTGTAGGTTTCTGGTGGTTTTATTTCTTCTGAGAACCAACTTCAGACGAACCGCCCATTTTACTTTCAGAGCATGCATGTTTTTGTTTTGCCTTGTTAACACTTTGGTAAAGCTTTTTAACAACACTGCTCAAATTTTATTATCTCTGACATTATCACTTTCCTGGTTTGTAGTTTAAGCATATGGGCTTGTTTTTAATTATAAAACTAATAAACACTTTACATAGGCTTAAAATACATAAAATTAAGAAGCTAGATTTCCCTCTTTCTTCCTTTAACCACCTGATTACAGGCACATGGAAACTTTCTGCATTAGTTACTTTTCTGTTGCCATGATAAAATACCATGACCAGAAGTAACTTAGGGTAGAAAGGATCTGTTGTGGCCAGGAAATCAGCAGTAGGCAGAGAAGGCATGTCCCAGGAGCATTTTATATTTATACAGGAAGGAGAGAGAGAGAGAGAGAGAGAGAGAGAGAGAGAGAGAGAGAGAGAGAGATATAACAGCTCGAGAGAGAGAGAGAGATATAA